TGACTCGACCAAATACTGCAGCTCTGCGGCTCGGTCTGCATCACCGAAGAGAAAAAGCGGTCCAGAACTGGTGTAGGAATTCCACCGTCGTGGCATGCGTCAACTGGCAGCGCTCAGCAAGCTCAGGCTGCAGTCCCATCAGGTCAGTGGCGTCTGAGCCGGTGCCGTACTTTTCCATGCGCCGCCGTTTGACGCCGGCCATTACATCGTCTTCGGCCAACTTTCTCGTTGCTCGGGAACCGACGCGCGGGGGCTTTCGTGTTTCTTCGTCGCTGTCACTTTGATCATCAACGCTGAGGCCAGCGTGCAGGTCTAGTGCGCCAGAATTGTCCGTCGCCATAAGACGCAACTCGCGACGGACGCTGGACAAGACGTCGGCGGCAACCTGCCTGGAAAAGATGCGAGCATTCGCAGATTGCGTGTCCTCGTGCTTGGAGAAGAAGCGGCTCTGCTCCTTGACGTTGAGAATCACGCGCTGTTCCTCGACATCGCCTTGCAAGTCTCGCAGCGCCAGCTGGCCGAAAGTAGCATCTTCGTCCCCGTTCGTCTGCTCTGCCTCAATGTCGGATGGGGCAACGTTTGCCATGATCTTTTCGCTCAAACTATTGAGCGTCTTGACGATGAGAACGTTCTTTCTGGGCCGCATCTCAAAGTCGGCCTGGTTGCCGCTTCGAAAACCACCTTGGTTCTCTTCATTGGCTTCGACGTTGATGATATTCGGCACGCTTTGCGCCATGATTCTGCTTTGAAAGCCCAGTGTGTTTTCGCTCTCATCATGGTTATCAAAAAGGGGGTCTCGGACGATGCCCTCCTTTTTCTCGTCCTGCACCTTGTCACCCCTCAGGGTTCGTGACAGCTTGCTGAGGAAGAAGCGTGACCAGAACTCGGCCTCGGTGATCTTGGGTACGTTTTCATTGTAGAGACGCTTGATGAGTGGGTGTTGGCTGAAAATGAGCTGCACCTGCTCGACGCTGATGTTCAGCTTGAGCTCCTCACCCTCTGTCCGTGGCTTAATGGTTGACAAGACGTTGTAGGAGCCCCTCTTCTGGTTCATCTCGATAGCGTGGGCTCGCAGCAGATTTGTGCGTGTGGACCAGAATTGGGAGTTGAAAGCCGCATCAGAGATGGAATCTGGCTTGGTGGCGCGGGCATCAACATATGTCTGGTAGAGATTGCGGTCCGCCTTCATCAGAGACTGTTGAAGTTCAATGTCGCTCTTGAGCTGGCCGTCGTCGAACCAGCGTGGCGGGGCTGGCTTTGAGTTGACCGAGCTCGCAAAGGCCATGGAGGCAGAGACGCCGCCGTTGCCCTCGCCATTAGCGTTGGGCGTGCCCGTGGACGAAGCCAGCTTCGGTAGGTTTGGGTCACCTGATCGCAGGTCCTGCAATAATTTGGACAGGACATCTTTCACGGCATTGGCCTCGGCGCGCGCATCTGGAGACGTAAAGTGGAATGAGTATGGTGTCTGTTCAGTCGCATCTGGTGCCTTTTCTATAATCCGCAGCATGACCTTAGCCGCGGTATCTGGGGTCTGTTGCAAGTCTGTCAACGTGTCAGCGGCGAAGCGGGCGACCAACCTGGAGGCACAGCAGGCCGTAGATGGCATTTGTCCACCACATGTGACTTACTTGCGATGTTGGGGAGAGGCAGAGACACGGTGGGTGTGCCGGTGCCGGGCCATGGTGTCCAGGTGACGTGCATCTGATCAGCAGACAGAGTCAAGACGCCATCCTTCTTCTTGAAGGCTGCCCGACCAGAAGGCACGGCCATGGTTCCTTACTTGCTGGACTACCTAAAAGGTAAGGTAGGTGGTAGAGCAATGAACTATGTCGTATCGAGAATTCCAGAGCTCATGACCCGACTCGATAGTTATGAGGATGGCAGGTGGAACGGACCGTGTGCCTCAGTTGCTGGGGTGTTGGAAATGGAGACGGCTTGGCCTGCCTACGCTTTCCTCCCCAGCGGATGAATCTGCACGACTGTGCGAGGCAGAACCCAAGAGAGAGAGAGAAGAACTCGCAACGACCAAGAAACGGCAGTATATGTGGCAGTCTCTCTCGGGGCTTTATGGACGTAGACCACTACCTAGTCATGAGCGAGGCAAGTTGGGTGAGCTGCCTAGGCATCCATTCAGTCGTTCTCGAGGCTTGTCACTCGTTGGTGGATAAGATGGTTGTGACGACCACCAGTGAGCTTCTGCGTGATGACGAGACGGCAGGTCGTAGTGGCTTGCTTTGGCACCAGCCACACTCAGCTGCCACACATTTTTTGGCAGGCGAGGGATGGTCATTTGTGTTTACGGGGCAGTCGTACGGGGCAGTCGGGGTCTACCAGCCAACGCCGAGAGTTCAATGGGCAGGAGAACCGTGCAGAGGAATAGGAGGCAGACTGTGCGCCAGCCCCAGCACCAGCAGGCTTCAAATCAAACTGTGTACCTAATATGACCGAATCCTACCTATGATTTGCGTCGGTCAAATACCGAGTGGTCATGCCTCCGTGAAGAACAAGGGATGTCACAGTGTTCACTTCATGGGTACGACGCGAATGATTTTCATCTGGAAACAAAACACAAGATGCGGCATCTCACATGGCGTCTCCGGGGCCAAGCCAGAGATTGTAATAATAGCACAGCAAGACGTCCCACCAGATAGATCATCAGGAACAGTCAGGGCAGAGCACAGGACGAAAAAGAGAGCGAGACAGGCCCAAGCTGAAGCTCATGCGACAAACCGAAACGAGAATGGATACACTGTGCGCGACACTCGCCCTCTCCTTCCTCCCCCCCTAGCGCGACTTGTTTCGGGTGCCATGGAACTCGGAGGGCTCTGAATGGCCAGTTGCCTCTGCTGCCGGTAGCCCGCTCGGTTTTGCCGACGAGCTCTGCTGTGACGGCAAGAACCGGCCAGGTCTCCAGGTCTGCTACTGACCAGGCTTTCCAGGCTCACTTTTAGAGCCCTGTCCAGTATCTACTACGTCGTCGCCCTTCTGATCTCTGCCTCCTTTTCCCTCCTTTAGACAAACCCATCGTTATCACCTTCCGGGACATCGACCCCGCCCCCCCTCTCCTTTTCTCCTTGTTCGATCTGCTCCGCCATCATGCTGCGCAGCTCGCTGAGCAAAGCCAGCACTCGGGTGCTTCAGAGCTCCCGGTGCGCGGCCCCTTCATCCCGTCGCTTCTCGACCCTCCCTACCACGCCGCGTACCGCCGCGACACAGACTCTGGCCGCAAGCCGCCGACCCTTGAGCTTGACCGCGAGGAGGCATTACGCCAGCGCCACCGACAATGCTCCCGATCCCAATGATAACTTCCTCTCCGGAAACACCGCCAACTACATTGACGAGATGTACATGCAGTGGAAGGAGGATCCCAAGAGCGTCCACGTCTCATGGCAGGTCTACTTCCGCAACATGGAGTCTGGCGACATGCCCATCTCCCAGGCCTTCACCCCGCCGCCTTCTCTCGTGCCCGGCGCCACGGGAGGCGTCCCTCGCCTCGCCGCCGGCAGCGCTGAGGGCACCGAGGTGGCGAACCACCTGAAGGTCCAGCTCCTCGTCCGCGCCTACCAGGCTCGCGGCCACAACAAGGCCAACATCGATCCCCTCGGTATTCGCAACGAGCAGAAGGGCTTTGGTAACATCAAGCCCAAGGAGCTCACCCTCGAGCACTACCAGTTCACCGAAAAGGACCTCGACACCGAATACTCCCTTGGCCCCGGCATCCTGCCTCGCTTCAAGCGTGAGGGCCGCGAGAAGATGACGCTGCGCGAGATCATTGACGCCTGCGAGCGCATCTACTGCGGATCCTATGGAATTGAGTTCATCCACATTCCTGATCGTGAGAAGTGCGACTGGCTGCGCGAGCGCCTCGAGGTGCCCCAGCCCTTCAAGTACAGCATTGACGAGAAGCGCCGCATCCTCGACCGCCTTATCTGGAGTTCGAGCTTCGAGTCCTTCCTGTCCACAAAGTACCCCAACGACAAGCGTTTCGGCCTCGAGGGTTGCGAGACCCTGGTCCCCGGTATGAAGGCTCTGATCGATCGCAGTGTCGACTACGGCGTCAAGGACATTGTCATTGGCATGCCGCACCGTGGCCGTCTCAACGTTCTCAGCAACGTCGTCAGGAAACCCAACGAGTCCATCTTCTCCGAGTTCGCTGGTACTGCCGGTGCCGAGGATGAGGGATCTGGCGATGTCAAGTACCATCTTGGCATGAACTTTGAGCGCCCCACCCCCTCGGGCAAGCGTGTCCAGCTGTCCCTTGTGGCCAACCCTTCCCATCTCGAGGCCGAGGACCCCGTCGTTCTCGGTAAGACGCGCGCCATCCAGCACTACAACAACGACGAAAAGGCCCACCGCACTGCCATGGGCGTCCTGCTCCACGGTGACGCCGCTTTCGCCGCCCAGGGTGTCGTCTACGAGTGCCTCGGCTTCCACTCGCTCCCTGCCTTCTCTACTGGTGGCACCATCCACCTCGTCGTGAACAACCAGATCGGCTTCACCACCGACCCCCGTTTCGCTCGCTCGACCGCCTACTGTACCGATATCGCCAAGGCTATCGACGCCCCCGTCTTCCACGTCAATGCCGACGACGTCGAGGCCGTCAACTTCGTCTGCCAGATGGCTGCCGATTGGCGTGCCGAGTTCCAGCAGGATGTCATCGTCGACCTGGTCTGCTACCGCAAGCACGGCCACAACGAGACTGACCAGCCTTCCTTCACGCAGCCCCTGATGTACAAGCGCATCCAGTCGCACAAGTCTCAGATTGCCATCTACGTCGACAAACTCATCAAGGACGGCACCTTCACCAAGGAAGACGTCGAAGAGCACAAGCAGTGGGTCTGGGGTATGCTCGAGGAGAGCTTCACCAAGTCCAAGGAATACCAGCCCACCTCCAAGGAGTGGACGACTTCGGCCTGGAACGGCTTCAAGTCGCCCAAGGAGCTGGCCACCGAGGTTCTGCCGCACAACACGACCAGCGTCGACAAGAAGACTCTCGAGCACATTGGTGAGGTTATTGGCAGCACAAGTGAGGGCTTCAACGTGCACAGGAACCTCAAGCGTATCCTCTCCAACAGGACCAAGTCTGTGGTTGAGGGCAAGAACATTGACTTCCCCACGGCCGAGGCTCTCGCCTTTGGTTCCCTCGTCACCGAGGGCCACCACGTCCGCGTGTCCGGTCAGGATGTCGAGCGTGGGACCTTCTCGGAGCGTCACGCCGTCTTCCACGACCAGGAGACTGAGGACACCTACACACCTCTGCAGAACATCAGCAAGGACCAGGGCAAGTTCGTCATTGCCAACTCGTCTCTGAGTGAGTTTGGTGCCCTTGGCTTCGAATACGGTTACTCTCTCTCGTCTCCCAACGCGCTCGTCATGTGGGAGGCCCAGTTCGGTGACTTCGCCAACAACGCGCAGTGCATCATTGACCAGTTCATCGCTTCCGGTGAGGTCAAGTGGATGCAGAGGACAGGCCTCGTCATGTCGCTGCCCCACGGTTACGACGGTCAGGGTCCCGAGCACTCCTCTGGACGCTTGGAGCGTTACCTGCAGCTCTGCAACGAGGACCCTCGTGTCTTCCCCTCGCCCGAGAAGCTCGAGCGCCAGCACCAGGACTGCAACATGCAGATCGCTTACTTCACGACCCCTGCCAACTTGTTCCACGCCCTTCGTCGCCAGATGCACAGGCAATTCCGCAAGCGTAAGTCCCTTCAGTCCACCCCCTTTGGTCCACCCCTTTTGGTCCACCCCTTTTGTTCCCCCCCCTCAATATCTTGCTTGTGCTGACCTGTGTTGCCTCAGCCCTCATCATCTTCTTCTCCAAGTCGCTCCTCCGCCACCCTCTGGCGCGGTCCAACATCGAGGAGTTTGTTGACGAGTCCCACTTCCAGTGGATTATCCCCGACCCCGAGCACGAGGCCGGCACCATCAAGAAGCCCGAGGAGATCAAGCGTGTTGTGCTCTGCACGGGTCAGGTGTGGGCTGCGCTGCATAAGTACCGCGCGGACAACAAGATCGACGACACGGCGTTCACGCGTATTGAGCAGCTCAACCCCTTCCCGTGGCAGCAGCTCAAGGAGAACCTTGACCAGTACCCCAACGCAGAGACGATTGTCTGGGCCCAGGAAGAGCCGCTCAACGCTGGTGCGTGGAGCTTCACGCAGCCTCGCATCGAGACGCTCCTCAACCAGACCGAGCACCACAACCGCAAGCACGTCATGTACGCTGGCCGCAACCCCAGCGCGTCCGTGGCAGCGGGTACCAAGGGCCTGCACACCAAGGAAGAGCAAGAGTTCCTGGAGATGGCCTTCACTGTCAAGCAGGACAAGCTGAAGGGCGAGTAAAGTAGAACAAAAAAAAGGGGTTGTCAGGTTGTAAACGTATGTTGCTTGTTATGGTTGACGGAATCCCTTCAAGGGGGACTATAGGCGATGGCAGTGCCAACTGTATCTTTTAATATTACTTGAATTGAGCGCCTGTACGGAAAGCGAGAGAGAGAGAGAGAGAGGCCTCATCGCCGTTCCGGCATGTAATAGATGTGACACTAGGGTCGTAGCGCCTTGCCAACTCCAATTAACCCATTTGGTCAAACTCGTCGGTGCTGTACGCGGTTGTGGCGCGTGGTGAGGGAACTGCGGGTGCACGGACACCTAGAGCTTAAGTGGTTTGGACCTGGCGCGTCCCGCTAAAAGACGCGTCTCACCTGTCGCGTCGCCACCACAACTCAAGTAAAAGGGTATCTATCTGCCAAACTATGCAAAAGAATTCACGTTAGGTAGCCACTGATTAGCCCAGTTTGGCCGGGGTCTATATGGTACTGAATGTGTACCCCACTTCGACATCGAATACATCCGGCAGGCCTAGACATTCGACCTGCAATTCACATTCCCGGGTCCTGCGTTACCACACCACCCACCATAGTCGACGTCCACCGGCCCTCAATGCACTGCAATACATCGCAAGTCTGCTCGACATGAGCACGGAGATCAATGGCCACATGGAGGGAACTAGGGGAGGTCCCGGATTCGGACGATGATGGAGACTTCGACAACTGTGGGCAGGCACACGATTCGACACTCACCTATTCCTTCGACTCGGACCAACACAATGAAGCCGCTCCCCCGACATCGCAGGCCGTCCCGACCCACGGATTGCTGTCCCAAGCTAAGAACACAAGCCAGAGCATATGGGATGTTCCCGCATCCTCACCGATCGGAGATGCTCAAGTGGTGGCGCCCTTGCCCGACCGGCCAACTACTCCCCAGCCTCGAGTGCACATGGCCATGCCGCCGGCGTCGTCTCCCCTCTCCTCAGCCCCGGACGATGATGAGCTTGCCGATATGTTCTCAGAAGCACCGTACCGAGCTGCCGCTTCCGCAATTACGAAGCCGTCGCGTGTCGTTGTCTCCGCACGCGGCGATTCCCCAGATCCCCTCGGCTTCGAGACTGACGATGTATCAGCGGGACTTGTTGAGCTGACTGAACCTCCACCCGAATTTCTCTTCGATCGAGATCATGCAAAGCCGGTCCCCCCTCCTGCTTCTACGCAACATCTCCGTCGTCAACATTCGACTCCCCCGAGTCCCGAAACCGTCTCGGCCATAGCAGCTGCTGTCACGGCCGCACAGCGCTATGAGCGCTCATTGCGTCCGAGAAAACCTATACAAGAGCATCCGTACATGATCGAGAGCGCACAGTACAACAAGGCTCTGAAGGCCCGCGGCATCAAGCCCGTTCGCATGCTGGAGGAGGCGCATGCTCGAAGCAGGAACAAGACACCGGAAGACGATTCGCAAGAGCAGGAGTTTCAAGAAGAGAGTCAGAACACCGTCAGCGAACACCAGGAGGAGAGTCAGTCGCTGCTACATGAATCCTTGGACGACTCGGCTTCTTTACCGACGTTCCCCTCGCCGTCCACTGCCAAGACGTCGTCTCAACCACCACGGAATACCTCAAGCAGTCCTCGCAGCGTTTCACGCGAGACCAATGCCACGAGCCCGTTCATCGACTACGGACGTCACGAGAGCGGCGAGGAGAGCGATGGGTTGCCGTCTTTGAAACAGCTGTTGACTGCCCCGACGTCATCCTTTCCAGTGAAGAGACATCTGTCATCCCTACTGACGTCGTCACGGAAGTCGACGAATAGATCTGCTTCGCACAGCAGCCTCGAGCCGACCTCTGGTAACTCACATCCGTTGCACCCTCCGCACGTCAAGTTTCGTCAGCCTCGGCCGCTACCACCCGCTGCCCCTAAGGCAAAAAAGGTTCCAAAGCATAGCAGAGGATCCCGAGGTCGGCCTCCCAGAGTCGATACATCGGAGCAGACAACACCATCCCGACCTCGGCCTATGAGCCCAGAACAAGATTACCTTGAGCGTCCTCTTGAGCGTCCTCTTGAGCGTCCTCTTGAGCGTCCTCTTGAGCGTCCTCTCAAGCGTCCTCTTGAAAGCCCTATTGTGAATCTTTCAGAGGCTTCTCATACGGACGATGCGTCAGATTCCGAGGTTAGCGAGGAATCCAATAGCACTCCAAAGCATGGCAAAGAACTCGTGGCATTTGGACGCAGAGCTCGAGGAGTTCTTCCAGCGTCTCATTTCAGGCTAGACCGACCGATGGAGCAGCCAAAGCCTCATCGAGCTGCTCAGGCTCGGCCGATGCCGCCTGACTCGACCCAACGACGCGGCATCGCCATGCCGAGAATGAAGACAACATCAAATCAGTCGCCGTCCACACCCGCCTTCCCTTTTGACCTGTTCGACGACGAAGAGTCTGAGGCGGAATCTTTGCAAACACCTAGACCGAAGACCGAGAAGCATTACTCGCAACAGATCCTGCACATTGTAAATGACGATGATGATGACATGTCTGTGGTTGAGGATAACGATATCGATCATATGGTACAACGACCCAAACGCCAGCTGAATCAATCTGTCTCGGGTGCAAGTTCTGCGAAAAGACGAAAATTAGACAAGTCTGGTGCCAGACAGCGTCAGCAACCGACCATTACGAGCCACTTCGGTTCAGGCAACGGTGCTTCCGCAAAACGACAGAAGCCACCACGACGCAGTCAGAATAAAGAAAAATCGTCAATGAGAGCGTCGAAGAAAAAGCCTCAAAGGACGTACAATCCACCTCGACTGGGCATCCTAGACGTTATTGAGCCCGAGGCACCACGATTCTTAAGACTTGCCGCGCGTACTGTGAAGAGCAAAGCCCAGCGAGGAAGATCCAGCCCAAGTAGAAAAACAATATGTCTGGGTACCAGGGAGGATCAGCTCGACGCTGGTAGAGTCCTGCAAGATTGGATCGGTGGTGAAATCCGTCCTCGGCACTCGGTCACAAACTCCTCGACCGCCGTTCAAGGTTCCGACCGGCAACCGTTGGCTCACATTTCACATAATGGCGTTGCTCCGGGTTCATCTGAGTCTCCCGATACCTCGACAGACTCCTTCAGCAGAATCACACAGCCAAACCGCAATGCTGCCGCTAAGAACACGTCTCGCATGTTGCCGAGAAGCAGAGCTGCCAGCGCCCGGCCTGCCCAATTCGAGGCGGATGTGATGAACGAGGCTAGCACAGTAAGCTTTCAAACCAAAAAGAGGATGCTGGATGCCATCTATCGTCGCGGAGCACGTCCTCGGTCGGTGTTCCAGAGTACTATGTCTCTCATGGCTAAAGACAATGATGGGTCTTTGGTCATGGAAGAAACCGAATCCGCAGTGCGCAAGGATCTTTCGGTGAACGTGACAAAGCCGTCGCGGAGGAGGTCGAAGAAGACCGAGAAGCCTACTCGAGTGGACACAAGGGCGCCTCAGTACCGACATGCGCATGATCCTCTTCCTAGCGGACCTCGAACAGACGGACACATCAGTGCTGCAGATCTAGGCGTCGACCAATTGCTCGGCCTGGCGCCTTTTGGAGCTCATTACAGCGAACACTTTGAGGTTTTCCCACTGCAAAGAGGGGTCTTCTTTCATGAAGAGACGCTTCTTGGTAGTGGGTGCTTCCAAGCTTCACTCGCCTCTGGCTTGCTGGAGAAGATCAAGCAGCCGCGGCCCCGAATCTACTTCAATCTTAGCGGCCAGCCTTTGAAATGGGGCTTATGGGATGAACAAACTTCGTCCGAATTCGGAGTTCTTGTTGATGCAATCTGCAATCATCTCACTGAGAAAGGTCCTGATGGCGATTCGGGCTTCGACACCAGAGATGCTGCAAGGTTCATGCGCACGTATGTGCAAGATAGCCTCAGTGTTACTGATGATACAAACTTGGGAACGTTCTTGTCTCGCCTGCAGCTTGTTTTCGAAGGCTTTTTCAGTCGCTTCAAAGGTCAAGCAACATTCTTGGACCGAAGGAAGACGATAAAGGCTCTAGAGGTGCTGTCAGAATTCCTCATCATCGTACTCTGCAGTCTTTCGATCTGCAGAGATCAAGCTTCCATGATTCCGCAGATCATGGGGCTCGAAACTCTCCTACGTGAGGTCATAGCCACTTCTGTGGCCTGTCTTCTACAAATAGGGACGACGTCACTGGTCACTCTTTATGGCAGCCTCCAGCAACTAACAAACCGGGAACGTGGTATTCGAGCCGACAACGTTGCAGCACAGACCTGGGTCATGCTAATGAGAGCCCTCGGACATCTGCGGATTCCCCGGATGTCGTTCTGGGATGTCACATTCCCGGTTTTGATCAAGGGCGAAGATAAGACCGGCCTCAATGTACAAAGATTCGAGCAACTTTGGGAAACGATGTTCACACTCCTGCCCCTGTGCGAGTTTGATTCGTCTGGCGTACTCGTCTCGGATACCCGGCACAGTGTCGCTATGGACGGCTGGGCTTTGCCTCAGCTTGCCCTGAAGCGAGTCTTCCAGTTGTATAAAGCAAACAATCGACAACCGCCTGGGTTTAACGATTACTGTAGAACCCTCGTGCGTCGATGCGTATACTTGGTCGACAACTGGGGATGGTACAGATGCGGCGGCGTCATTGGCACTGTCTTCGATTTCTTCGGTTCACAAAATCTTTCAAATCTGCGAAACGAAGAAGTCTTCCAGTCACCCGCTTTTCTCGAGCATTTGCACGTCGAAACGGCCTTGCGAGTCGAACCGGAAGATCGCTGCTTTCACATTTTCCTGAAGCTGGTCGCTCTGACCATTCAACGCCTGGTGCAGACTGGATCCGACAGAGAGATTCGCAACCTCGTAGCGCGGACTCTACCGAATCACGACCGCCAGTATCTCAAGGAGCAGAATGTTCACCAGCATGATCTTGCTGCCCTTCGCAACCATCATGACCTTCTCTGTACCCTCTTTTGGGCGACACCTGCTGAGTTGCGCCCTAGCACACTTCTTGCTCTTTTGGAGAAACTTGTCGTCCCTTCAAGCTCTCACAAGGAAGCCTGCCTCATAAACCTCAAGGCTTGGGCTCAACTGGCAAGGTTTGTGGTTCACAAAGAATCAGTGGCAGCGTTCAGACCTTTTTCTCTCTGGCAGGGAAGCGCTTTTCAACAGCTCCTGGACCAGTACGACTCGACGGCTTCGGACATACAGCAACAGTTGTCGTCCATGTCCAAAGACGCTAGTCACGGCATTGACCAGAATCTCATCAACGGCATCATAGCCAGTAACAAGTCTGCCACCATGGAAGTCATTCGGTATTCCGTGGCGATCTCGCTCGATGTTGCGAAGTGCGCAAGAAGCTTGGAGCTCTCCATTTTTGCTGGAAATCTAGGTACGTCATCAAGCCATGGAAAATGGCCTTCTGCTAACGGACACAGTTCAACTTCGGCACGTTTTACGTCAATTCTCCAAGTCACCGGCAGAATATCCGTTGAGTATACTTAAGGATGCTGTCGCGACTGTCGATGTTTTCTTGGTTCATGTCGAGAGGGCCCTCGGCAGTGTTCAGAAAGAGAACAATGCGGCTGGGCTTGAAGACGGCATCATGGTATGTTCACGTACGAATGAGAGTCATATCAAATTGATCTGACACCCCGATAGAAGATAGATAATGACCTCACTGCGGACTTCTACGCAATGGCCAGGAACATGTTGCAGACTAGCTCGACGGTTGATTGCTCCCCACAGACGATAACCAAAATGGAGGAAGCAAGGGAGCAAGTTGTGACGGTGGCTGGCAGATTGGCTGCAATTTTGATCCGATGTGGCACTATTGTGAGCCTTTCTCCTTTCAGTCTTCTTCAACTGGCTAGGCTAACCATTACGTGCAGCGTCTATCACGATGTTTCAAAACCAGTCAACGCAGCAAGGCAGGGAAACACGAGCTCTTCGAAGGGCTGCCGAATCAGCTTGTTCCGCTCCAGAGTCGATATCTCCACCTTTTCCTCGCCAACCTAGATAAGGAATTAGATCTGACGGTATGTGAGGCTCGCAAATCGCCGGAACTGAGCTAATGCACCAGTAGGACGTTGGCGTTTCAGTTCTGCAGTTGTGGCTCCTCTCTCTCACCAAACCTAGAGAGGATATGCTCTTCGAGCATCAATTTGCGTTGAGCCTGAAGAAGCTGAAGTATCCTTTCTTGCCCGCAGAGAGCGATATGTTGCGACATGCAAATTACGACATGAACTGCGACATGTTAAGAAGTACGTTCAGTCTGTGTGTGATGTCGCAACTTGACCTCTTGCTGATCCTCCATGGTAGAAACACTGGTGTGGATGAGAACGTCCCTACGGACGTCATCGACACCTTTACAAAAGAAGTCCAACACATCCGACTATGCTGCTGCACTCAAGGCAGTCATGCAACGGATCCAGAACGATTTGCATGATGTTTCTCTGACAAACGATGCACAACACACAAGATACGTTCAGTTTGTGCGCCGCGTTGTGTCCTTGGTCAAGTCCCACACAACGGAAATCTTCCAGATTCCGCCCTTCTTCTACCAAGTGAGCAAAGAATACTCGCCGCCCGTGCAGGACCCGCACCTTCAAGTAGACAGCATCAAATCGTACGGCCTCAGACTGAACGAGGGTGATTCCCCGGCGATGCCACAGTTGTTTTACTACATGTACAACAACTTCAAACAGGCACTCTTGCATGGCAGACTCGGGCACGAGACGCGCATTCTCGCCAAGGGCATGAAGGACGATGCCATTCTGGGGTTCACGCTCGGCACGATGCTGCCGGTGGTTCTGTCAGCTTCGGTTATGAAGCCCGAGGCTTTCGTCCTATTCGACACGTATTGCGAGGCCATCAGGCTGCGATTGGATGGCGTGGCCGCTCGACAGATGGATCAATCCCGCGAGCAGATTCCCACGCTGATTCGGGCCATGATGCGATGGATTCGCGGGGTCCGGTGCCTGAATGACGGCGTCCTCTGCGTAGAGCACTTGCACCTCTTTCGAAAGATGGTCGTATTACTGGCCATGCTCCAACCCACCTTGGCGGCGGCATCCTACGACGCTTCAGCACCTGCTGCTGCTGCCTGGTCGGTCATGCAGCAAGCGCTGAGCTGTTGGTCAGAAGCCACAGAGAACGCGGCGTCCCACCTCGCATCCAGTCTCGCCGATCCGTACGAGGATGACGTGTCCGCCGGCCTGTTTCAGGATGTTATCGTGGAAGACGGGTTTGTCGGCGAGGACGAAACTTTGGTGGCCAGCCTGGCGAGGGGCACCGTTACGGACTTTGAGAGAAATTGGTTGGTGACGGCCGAGCTGATCGTCGCCCAGGCACCCGCGCGAGCCACGCAGGCGGGGCAGGGGCTGGCGAGGCCACACTGGGACATGGAAGAGTTGGGACAGTGTCTTCTGCGTGAGTTGCAGACGTGGAACGCGTGGTGGGCGAGGTGCAGGGCGCACATGCAGGACGAGCTCATCGGTGAGGCAGAGGAGATGATGTTCTTGTAGGCCATTCGGGCTAGTTGGTATCACTCCTGCACGCTTGTCGTGAAAAGATATGTAAAAAAGGGCTACGTCCACAGTTCGTTCATGTACATCAACATCAGGCACCGCTCTGACCCGTCTCCCTGTACTGCTCAAACGTCGTCTCCGGCTGAGGGGTCCCGTGTGTCTCGTCCTCCTCGCGCATGACCCGCTCCAGCTCGATCCGCCCGTCCTTGCCCCAGTAGCTGGCCTTTTCGGTGCCCTTGACGCAGCCCTCGGTGATGAGCACGTACGGCACGGGTGCCTCGAAGATGGGCTCAGCCAGCACGCGCTCCATCTCCATCTTGAGACCACGGGCTCCCGTCTCGGCCTTGGCAGCCTCGGTCGCAATGGCGTAGAGCGCCTTGCGCGTAAAGCGCAGACGGGAGGGGTACGTCTCGAAGAGGGCGGTGTACTGGGCGACGAGGCTGTGACGGGTCTCGGTCAGGATGCGGAACAGGTCGTCGAGGGTCAGGGGGTTCAGGGCGCATATGTTGGAGACGCGGCCTATGAGCTCGGGGATGAAGCCAAAGGCCTGCAGGTCTGCTGGTGTGGTGAGGTCCAGCGGGCTATGTGTTGAGGCCGGCGCGTCGGGGTTGGTGTGGGGCAAGTGGTCGAAGAGATGCCTAGGCAGGTCATGCTTGTCACCGGATAGGTTCTGGCGGCCTCGCAGGTCGGAGCCGAATCCCATGGAGGGCTTGGAGACGCGGCGTTCAATAATGGACCGTAGGCCGACGAACGCGCCACACATGATGAACAGGATATTGGACGTGTCGATGGTGTACTGGTCGACCTTGCCCTGGGGCGGCGAGGACTGAGAGGATGATGGAGAGCTGCCGCCCGAGTTGTAGTTTGTGGTGATGGGCGGGGTCGAGCGAGACGACCTATTTTCCTTGACGTTCAGAGTCACACGGGAGCCCTCGACGAGCTTCAGCAACGCTTGTTGCACGCCCTCGCCGCTGACATCCCTACCATGGGCAGGCGTCTTGGAAGCGAGCTTGTCAAATTCGTCCAGCACAACGATGCCGTTCTCGGCTGCTTTGATGTCGTAGTTGGCCTCTACCAGGAGCCTCTCGATGCACGTCTCAACATCCTGGCCAATGTAGCCAGCCTGGGTAAAGGCGTTACAGTCGGCTATCGTAAAGGGGACATTGAGCTTCTTGCTCAGCGTTCTACTTGCGTGTTAACGAGGGGTTCACGGAAGGAGGGAGCCATGCTTTCCGGGGAGAGCAGCGTACTCTAGAATGTACGTCTTCCCTGTGCCCGTGTTGCCCATGACAAGGAGGTTGGACTTGTCAATCTTGACATTGAGCGGTCCCGTGGGCCCTTCGGCAATGTTCAGGTCGTCAGCAGGCGCGCGGGGGTCGGGCTCGTCACTGAGATGCTCGACGGATTCAAAGTGGCCGGGATAGTCATCTTGGGCACGGCTGTCAGCCAGGCGGCGCGGAAAACCAAAGCCATCATCCTCAGCTTGGTGCTGACCTGAGGCAGGGTGAATATCACGTAGTCTCTCGTGCGCGTCTCGGTCGCGTGCATAACGCTGCCTCTGGAGCTTCTCCCGTTGTTTGCGGTCCTCCTCGTCACGTTGGCGGCGACGCCTGAGGCTCTGGTAGTGGTTGAATACGGTGGAACATATGATCTTCTTGGCCCGGTGCTGGCCGACGACGTACTCGTCAACTCGCTTCTTCAGGTCCCTCGGGTAGAAGCTGGGAACGGCGAAGTTGGTCTTGTTGAACATGGGCCCACGGCCCTCATCACTGGGATCATAGCTACTCGTGAAGCCAGAGGAGAAGTCTTGGGTTCGGCGGGAGGAGGAGGAGGACCGCGGCACCGTCAGGGAGATGGAACGGCGGTAGGTGATGGGAAGGGCGAGGTTGGTGCATCGGGTGCAGGTGAGGGTTGTCGGTCGCCTCACGAGGAGAGGCATGGCATCAGGGCGCAGGGAGGCTCGGCTGGTCGCCATGATGGTAGGAGGCGTTGTTGCAGGTTGGAAGGCAGACTAAACCCCCATGGGACATGTAACGCGGGGGGGTGTGGTTCGGAAGACCGATTCGAGGGTTCGTCGTCGCATGGACGTCGGTGGTACGAGTCACGAAGCTCCGGCGCTGGCTGGGGAAGGGGGGGGGGTTGACCGTTTGGCCGATGCGGGGGAGCTCTTGAGAGCTTCCCATCGCAGAGGTACCTTCAGGTAAGGTTGGTGCGTAAGGTAGGGGTGGCGGGAGGCCACCTGGGACCACTTGGGGCCGGTTCCGGCGAGAGTCAGCGGGGGTGTTCTATGTCTGCGTAGGTACCTCCATAGGTGTCATTCACTATCTTGTCGTGGTCGGTGCTTCTCCTCAGCAGGCTCGCAAGGCTGGGAACACTGGAGCTGTCTGGTGATTCGCGAATGGATACTACTGTTACGATGGCAAAACACATAATGTTCCTTCAATGCCTAGGTTATCAAGAAAATAAACTACACTGCCTGAGTGCCTAGGTACCTAAGGTAGGTATTGGTAAGTCTGTCTGGGCCAATAACGATGCACTGGCTCAAGATGGTCAAGTCTTGCGAGGTCAACCGCCTGTTCGGAGTGCACCCTGGCAAGCCTGGCCCAGCGACAATTACAGGCTCATGATGGATGATCGCTAAAACCCATTCGACGATCAGAGGGAAAAGGCGGACAGGGCCCCAGCTAAGGACCTCCAGCTGGCAGCTGGGTGTGACACAAGGACAGGGGCCGGCAAGAATTCTCGTGGAATTGATCGGGGCGTCGCTCCCTTGCTCGTCCCCTCTTCTCGTCGCCTCTCGACGTCATGGCTACGAGCTATTATCAGACGCTCACGGCCACGCCGCCTGACGGGCAGGTGCAGGTGCATATGCAGCTGCACCACCCTCACATCGTGGTGCCACCGCCGGCCCAACATGCTCTCAGTTGATTCTCTTCTTCGACGTAGGGCCCTACCATTCGTTCCGTAGCACGAGGGGCGCAAAGAGAAGGAGGGGAGATGAGACTTTCTCGTCCATTGCAAAAACCTTTTTCCCCCTTGCCTTATCAGACAACTGACAGCCTGCTGCTGCTCGCTCGTTCCAATCCGTCTCGCAATCTTACATCCACATCCAGGCCCAGAACACGGAGACATTGCCCCTCCAACGCCACTTCGAGCTTGAGCCTGTCCCTATCCTGCCCGCTTCGCTTCAGTACCGTTCCCGCTACTGTTGCTTCCACTCCCACTGTCACTGCCACTGCCACTACTACTTCCCCTTGCCTAGCTTACTTTACCTACGTGCATGCACGAGCTCAAGCTCTTGGTCGCTCTCAACAATTCGCCCAGCTGAAGGAGCCTGCACCACGTTAGCCATCTTATCCCTCACATCGCCCTCATATAAGAAACGTCCGCTTCATTGAACCTCCCACTGTTCGAATCTGATTATTTTTCTTCAGCTTTCTCTTGGAAACGCCCCTTCTCTCCACGACCATGACTGCCGTTGTCGAGCAGTCCGCCAACTCTCTGGCCCCGCAAGCCGCTGCTGCTGGTGCTTCTGCTGGCACCCGCAATGACGGCACAGGCGTCATCCAGCTCGACCCCTGGCTCGAGCCGTTCGAGGACGCTTTCAAGAGGCGATATGCCAAAGCGCAAGATTGGCTCACCAAGCTGGACAAGACCGAAGGCGGCGTCGACAAATTCTCCAAGGGTACCGATATCTTTGGGTTCAACGTCGATTCCAATGGCACCATCACATACAGGGAGTGGGCCCCCAATGCCACTCACGCCTTTCTCACCGGCGACTTCAACAACTGGGACCGCGAGTCTCATCCCATGAAGAGGGACGAATTTGGCGTTTTCAAAATTGTCCTTCCTGCCAACAATGGCCAGCCCGCCATTCCTCACAACTCCAAGATCAAGGTTCGCACGGTTTCGCATCGAACAAACCTCCTCGATCGACAGGCTGACACGGATCCAGATCTCTCTGCAAACGCCCAGCGGCGAGCGTATCGACCGTCTGCCTGCGTGGATCAAGTACGTCACTCAGGATCTGTCCGTCTCGCCGGCATACGATGCCCGCTTCTGGAACCCCCCCGCTTCGGAGAGGTATCAGTTTAAGAACCCCAGGCCGAGCAAGCCTGCGAGCGCTCGCATCTACGAGGCCCACGTCGGTATCTCCTCGCCAGAACTGCGTGTCGCCACGTACAAGGAATTCACCAAGAACATGCTGCCAAGGATCCGCGATCTTGGCTATAACGTCATCCAGCTCATGGCCATTATGGAGCACGCCTACTATGCCAGCTTTGGCTACCAGATCAACAGCTTCTTCGCCGCCAGCAGCCGGTACGGACCCCCCGAAGACCTCAAGGAGCTCGTGGACACTGCTCACGGCATGGGCATCACTGTGCTTCTCGATATTGTCCACAGCCACGCCTCCAAGAACGTGCTCGATGGACTGAACGAGTTCGATGGCACCGATCACCAGTACTTCCACGAGGGTGCTCGCGGCCGTCATGAGCTGTGGGACAGCAGGCTGTTCAACTATGGTCACCATGAGGTCATGCGATTCCTCCTTAGCAATCTCCGCTTCTGGATGGATGAGTACCACTTTGATGGTTTCCGCTT